TTTCATTTACTCCAACATTTTATTTGAACATCTAGTGCGTTCTGTTTGTTCAGTTAGATTAGTGCCAATGAAATTTTTTCACCGGTAATCATATTTTTTCAATGTGAAGTCTGTTCGAAGGAATTCGTTTCTTTGGTTCAAGCTTACGATCGACTCGCGTGAGTGTGTATGTTAGTATAGCATTCGCAGTTGTGACGAAAAAATATTTCGTCGTTGAGAAATTTGTGAAATGATTCTTTCAGATTGATGCAACTGTCATTGGTGAATCTGAGTAGGGTGCGACAAGACAGACGTCCGTTATATCGACGTATTTTAACGAATCGAAGACTGGATATTGCGCATAAAAGTCTGTTTTTGTTGATTCAACCTTTTCCTTGTAACGCTTTCAACTCCATATCTACTAAATAATAAATTTAGTTTAACGCAAGGTCTCGAGAAAGGGACGCTTCGATATTCACTTTTTACGAAGTCGGAATCGGAAATTTCATTGTGTTGATACTTTAACTTCGTCCTCTTCATTGTCATCGATTTATGATCGTTTTCCAATCCCTGGAATATCCCAGGGTTCAAAGACGATCGGGGGAATGAGGTAATTGATTAAGGAAAAAGTGGTTGGGTTCTGCAAAAACCGATTTAAAATCCCTCATGAAAAGTTTCACTTTCAGCCGCCGTGCGAACGATTCTCGGTTTCATTCTCTTCAGCACCTCGTATTGTGTGGTGAACGGAATTATTTACTACCAATACATACGGCCAATAAAGCAAGAAGAAAAGGAACTACTCGAGAGAGAGTTGATTGAAGCCGATAGGGCTGGATTCGCGGTCAGATAACCAGGTGATCAGCGAACCGAATCAAATCACTAATCGTCAACAATGGTTAGTTTCATTCATTTGCGACTTTAATGTTCGTATGTTCTCGTATTTGACTAGGTATTTTTCTTTTTCACGAAAGAAGTTTGTGGCAAGTTGTTTCGATTGAGAAAAACTAGATAGCTTTTATTGAATTCTCACTGATCTAGCAGTTAGCTTGGAAGGTTTTGATTACAGATGAAACTTATTCATCAGTTCCTGTTCAAAGTCAACAGCCGCTTGTCTTACGTTTTCGTGTTTGGTATCTTTGCTGGTGCTGGATTTGAACTTTTCAAGGTACGTCTGTGGATCGTTCATTTTCCCGATAGTGGTTGTAGGGTTTCTCCGATTGATGTGACTGCTGAAAGCCTCTGTGATCGAAATCGTAGTGCTTTCAATAACGTATTATTAGTGGTGAACATGAGTTGGTGTCGTTGTTATGATAGTTTATCTAATGTTATGTGGTATTGCCAGTGTTAGCAGTAGTGATAATGAATACAATGATAGTAAGCAGTGAGTTTGGTTTGCAGATTCATTTTAAATTCCGTGGTGTCTCATATTATTCAGTCTACAAGGATAAACAGCTGCACAAACAACTGGAATCGTTCGAGAATGGCCTTCGAGAAACCGACAGAATAATTGCCAATTCTCCAGAGTTCGCCAATATTCGAAGAATGGATGCGCCACCGTAACAACATACCAATTAGTTGATACTCCACATCTAAAAGAACTCAAAAACGAATTTCTTAAATTGTTTTCATTTATTTTTGTATCATTATTCATTGCATTAGGTTGTTTATTGCAATTATATTTTAAGTTTTTATTTCAATTCATCGTTTTCTTTCCAACTTCACATTTCATTGAGATGGAAGGAATAGTTTCTACATAATGAAGTTGAATATTGATGACTATTTGTTTCTAGTGATCTGTGTATGTTTTATGTTTTAATTGGTGCGGTGTGTTGTCGCGAATGTTGTTGTCTTTACTGTAGATTGTTCATTGATAGTTTGTACTTTGAGGTGATACCAGTAGCAGTAGGAGTTTTTTATAAAGTCTTAAGATGGATTGTTGGAATTGTGAATGAAATGGATGCATCTCATCGGACATCGCTCAATTGATGGAACAGTTACGATTTTTGATCAGTTACGACAATATTA